CCAGAATTCCTGGTACTCCCTGCACTCTTGGTTTTCCCTTCCTGCTCTGTCTCTGTCCCACAGCCTCCCACTCTGCCAAGTCCTCCAAGCCACCAGCTCTCCCTCTCTGCTCTCCATCGGGTGGCTTGGGGAGCCAAGTTCCCCAAGCTGCTCCACTCTCTGCTGGCTCTCCTGCTCGGCTCTCCACCCAGTGGCCTTGCAGGGAAGACCGAGGTATCCACATCACCCCAAGCTGCCAGCTCTCCCATTCTGCTCTCCACCCAGTGCCTGAGTATGCAGATATACCTGCCATATTTGTCAGATTAATTTGCATTTTCACTCCTGATTGGCTGTTGTGTGTAGCAGAGGGATAGTCAATTTACATGTTTCTCTTTATTGTATATCATGAGCTCCTTTTCCTCCTCTCCATAGTGCATTTAAGTAAATCCTTTTGATGAGGCCTGAGTGTGGGGCCACAGAGCCTTATCTTGGCCCACCTCTCATGCAGTAGAATTTAGTTAGATATTTCACACTCTGCACAGAAATCATTCAATCACAATGAACAATTGTAAGTGCCACAGCTTGGTTCTAGAGGGCCACAAATACCAGTCATTTACCCATGATTTGCTCATTCTTGGGGTGAGAGGAATCAGAAGATCCTAGGAGAGGAATCCTGACAGCTAGGGGAGGAGAAAGAAAACTCCCCAGGGCTCAGGGCAGCCTGTCATTTGCCAACTGGTAACAAGGTGCTTTAGGTGGACTGAATGTCTAGGGGACTTCTCCCCAAGGAGGTGGGTTTCCATTTCCAGGGCTTCCACAGCAGAACATCCAGAGTTGCTGAGTTGGTTACGATTCCAGTGGCCACCCATGCCCACCAGGACAAGCCCATGGTCCCAGCTCTACCTGGATCCCCCTTCTCGCCTCGGGGGCCGTCTTTCCCATCTTGTCCATCACGACCAGGCAGGCCATTCTCCACAGGGCTACACATGACCAGGGTGCAGGCATCAATCAAAGGTTGCTGGGGAAGGGTCGTCACTTCTGCTCCCCATGACCTTGGAGGCTGTGTGAGCAGGACCAGCACGGAGAGGAGAAGCAGGGCCTTCAGGGTGGACAGAGAGAGAAAGAACATGCTCTTGGTTCCAGAACACGGGTTAGTGCTTAGCCCACCTCCTGGAAGTAAGAGAGGTATTTTCCTACCACCTTGCCCCTTCTGTGGGATCAGGAGCAGAAGGACTCCAAAAGCAATTTAGGACAAGGCGGCCATATAGTCTGGCCTGGGAGGGCATGAGTTACCCAGCTGAACTGTGACATGGGTTATCAGCAACATCTACCTCTTCTCAGATGCCCGTTTTGTCCCTTCTAATGACTTCCGTTTTACACTGTGATCAGCACGTCTAAGATGTGAACTCCTCACTGAGGCCACCTGTCACATCAGGAAGGACTCATGAAGTGCCTTTGTGCAGAACAGTTCCCCTCTTTGAACCTCCTTCTCCCTGTCTGTATCAGTAAGGTGGCTGGGCAGACCCATTTCCTGTTGAAAAAGGAATTTTAGGGGTAAGATAGGACAGGTTTAGGAAATATTAGAAATTTTGGAAATTGGGGGGACCATGGAGGAAAGTACAGGGCTGCAGAGCAGCAGAAGGTATATTTCCATAGAATGGGGGATCTGGAAAGCTGCAACAGGTACATTTCCATA